CTGTACTAAAGGCTAGTTTTAAACTTGGGTATACTAAAATATATCCAGTTCCAAATACAAGGAAAAACCTGCTTCAAATCTTAAATGCAGTCCTCTTGGAGAAAAGGCCTTTGCAGTTGATCTCAGCTTCTGGCTCTAATGCTTTTAGATTAGCCTTTCAGAAACCTTTTCTCATGGGCGTGAGCTCACAGAAGGTCTTGAGCATGGGGACAAGGGTGGGCTTTGTAAGGGTGCCTCTGTTTGGGGACCTCAAGAATACTGAACAAGGTATTGGTCAGATACTGTCCTTGCCCAATAAAATATAAAAACAATAGAAAATAATTAGTAACTGACTGACTCTAGGTGCTGCTACATCTCATAAGCTTGGCTCTTGAGACTAAACAGGCAAAAGAGTTACTAAGTTGCAAAACCGGACACATCTTTTTTTTTTTTTTTTTCCGACACATCTTTGAGCGGCAGGTGTGCATCTGTCACACTAACATTCTGAATGCCCAACAATTCTGTTACGTCTGAATCTCCCTGCCAGACTTCATGACACAGCTATTAATATACAGAATCAACCAGAAACAAATCTGAGCAATGCAGACCAAGATTTATGGACGTGTTAATTACGGCATTATTTATAAAATTAAAAAAAAATAGGAAGTTAAATGCCTAACACATAGGCACGTGGTTCAGTTAGTTCACATCTGCATTACACAGTCATTAAGAACCATGTCTCTGAGGAACATTTACTGACAAGAAGAATCCTCATGGTATAATGAGAAATCAATAAGGTACAAAATGTAAGACACTGTGATCATATTTATTGGTTCATTTATTTATGGTTTTTTCCCCTCTGGTCATATACATGCACGTGACTGGGAAGAACTAAAATAAAATACTGATGGTGACTATCTCTGAGTAATGAGATATTAACTTATTTTTCTCTAGCTTTGTATACTTTTCTGTAATTTTCCAGTTTCATACAAACCTTTTCCTTTTCCAATAAAATATATTGCTTTAAGAAAGCAATTGTTAAATCTCACAAGAATACCCAGCTAAGCCAGCACCAGTCCACTATATAATTATTATTAATAAATGATAATATACACAGTTCCTATCCCTGCATGTGAATAATCATGGTGAAAACAAAATCTATATGTCTCAGTCAGTAACCTCTGGGCCAGAAGCTTAAAAGCTCATGATCAGCATTAAAATTCATCCTGTCAGAGCACTACCTACCGTATTGAATACTGCTGATGTTGACGCATGAAAAGGGAATTGATACTTGTCAAGGACGTACTCTGGGCCAGGTGTTTATATATGGGGTTTCGCTTAGTACGCTTCTGGATGAGGAAACTGAAGGTCAAAAAGGTCAAATCACTGACTCTGGTCACATGACTTACTCAGTGATCAAAACAGATTCAAACCCTGTCAGTCTGGCTTGAAAGCCCCCTCTCCTTTCACCACCACAGGGCTGGTGAAAACTTCAGATGACACGTAGAGTTCATTTCAGACATTTAAAAATATCTTAAAATATTTTGCTAGCACTCTGACTGTGTGGCCAAAATAACTGATCGTTTCTTTTCTTTCACACAACCTAGTGGAGGTGCTGGGGAAACTACCCAAAGGAGACAACATGACAGACAGAAAAGAGGACAGGTGAATAATCCACCTACTGGGAAACCCTTGAAAGAACAGGCAATTTTTAGAGTTGCACAAACTAGCCTAGCCCTCTGCTGGATGAGAGAGGCGGCGGCCAGCTGAGATGTCGGGCAACTGCTACCAGACTCCATCAGTCCACAAATCTCTCCCTAACCCGCCCCAGCGGGCAAGGTGCTGCTCCTCTCTCCTGCTTGGCCTGACTGAACCCCATTTCTCAACGGTCATTTTTGGGGGTTGATTACAAAGCACACGTCATGGATTCTAGAGAGGTTTTTTGTTTTTTTGTTTTGCGGTACGCGGGCCTCTCACTGTTGTGGCCTCTCCCGTTGCGGAGCACAGGCTCCGGACGCGCAGGCTCAGCGGCCATGGCTCACGGGCCCAGCCGCTCCGCGGCATGTGGGATCCTCCCGGACCGGGGCACGAACCCGTGTCCCCTGCATCGGCAGGCGGACTCTCAACCACTGCGCCACCAGGGAAGCCCTTAGAGAGGTATTTTTAAACGTTAAAAACTTTCCTCTAAGAGAGGACAACAGACCTTAAAGATGATCTCTTTTTACTCTTTCCATTTAATATATACCTTTTGACATTTCTCAAGAAAGAGCCTACAGACTAGATACTGTTTCAGGCCTATCTTTCCACGTAGCATCTAACTGAATTCAATCAACAGATGAGTTTGTAATCCTAACAACATCCCGTGTAGTTAGAACCTCACAATTACAAAGTGCTTCCACATCAGTGATGTCATTTGCTTCTCACAGTAAACCTGAAGGAAGGAAAGGGAGGTAATGTCACCCCCATTTTACAGATCAGGAAATTGAGACATACTGCCACTTTGTCTGGCTTATTGGATTAGACAGCAGCTTCCTTGGGAGGCAGAGAGGGACTGACTCTGGGGGGGGGGTGCGTATGCAAGTTTCAAAACGTGGCAGTAACGTGTCTCTGGAAAACAGGATCCCGAAAAGGGGTTTTCAGGTAAGGATGGGGTAATGAAATACTGGAGCGGGAAGACAAACACTACTTAGGTCACACTGTTGCCTGTGGAGAGCTCTGGGTGAGTGGCTTCCTTCCCTAACTTTCTGCTTTCTCAGTCCCATCTATTCTTCAAAGCCAAACCCAAATCCCACAGATCCAGGAGCCATTCTTGAGTATCCAGCACAGAGAAACCATAATAACAGCACCTTAAGATTTCCATGTGCTCAATATTAAAAAAACAAACAACCCAATCCAAAAATGGGCAGAAGACCTAAATAGACATTTCTCCAAAGAAGACATACAGATGCCCAAGAATCACATGAAAAGCTTCTCAGCATCACTAATTATTAGAGAAATGCAAATCTAAACTACAATGAGGTATCACCTCACACCAGTTACAATGGGCATCATCAGAAAATGTACAAACAACAAATGCTGGAGAGGGTGTGGAGAAAAGGGAACCCTCTTGCACTGTTGGTGGAATGTAAATTGATACAGCCAGTATGGAGAACAGTATGGAGGTTCCTTAAAAAACTAAAAATAGAATTACCATTTGATCCAGCAATCCCACTACTGGGCAGATACCCAGAGAAAACCATAATTCAAAAGACACATGCACCCCAATGTTCATTGCAGCACTATTTACAATAGCCATGTTATGGAAGCAACCTAAATGCCCATGGACAGACAAATAGATAAAGAAGATGTGGTACATATATACAATGGAATATTACTCGGCTGTAAAAAGGAACGAAATTAGGTCATTTGTTGAGACGTGGATGGATCTAGAGACTGTCATGCTGGGTGAAGTAAGTCAGAAATAGAAAAACAAGTATTGTATATTAACACATATGTGTGGAGCCTAGAAGAGTGGTGCGGATGAACCGGTTTGCAGGGCAGAAGTGGAGACACAGATGTAGAGAACAAACGTATGGACACCAAGCAGGGAAAGCGGTGGGGTGATGGTGGTGGTGGTGTGCTGAATTGGGCAATTGGGATTGACATGTATACACTGATGTATATAAAATTGATGACTAATAAGAACCTGCTGTATAGAAAAATAAATAAAATAAAATTCAAAAATTAAGAAAAAAAAAAAGATTTCCATGTGCCTTTGCTCATTACATCATGATAAGCTTTTGAGGTAGGCTGCATAGTCAGTTTTACAAATGAGGAAAATGAAGCTCAGAGGGGTTCAGTAACTTGTCAAGCTGACACGGCTAGTAAGCAGCAGAGTCTGGATTTCAAACTATATCACATCACAGCGGCCTCACCTTCCTGTACATGTATCACATCTTGTATATTGCCTGCCCACGTGTCCCTTAGTTCCTCAGCCTTTTGTTGCTAAGTTCTTTGAGGGCAGACACCAAGCCCTCAAAGACATTATATTTCTTTCTAACCACCCCCTCCCACAGTTAGCAGAGCCCCATGTACACAGTAGGTTCTCAATAAGCATCATATGGTAAATATCTGTTTGGTAGGAACAGCAGTTATTAAGAGGGATTTTTTGGTACTCTGAATGTCAGGGTCTCTGCTGTATATAATTAAAACAAGAGTAAACATGGAATGTATAATTTCTCCTCGCTCTAGCTTAATCAGGCATTCATTACCATGTCTGATTCTGTGTTATGTGAAAAGAAGTGCTTAGTAAGCATTTTCTATGAAGAGGATAGTCAAATACACACAGATATCAAAGAGCTTTTAAAAAAAGGCGAAAACAAAACCATCCAACATATGGAGAGACAATGATCTACATGGCGTACTGTTTCACCTGAGACTAAAGAACTTCCAAGGCAAAGAGAGTACTTGACTAATACTGGGAAATCCAAGGTACACCAAGGAGGAAGCAGAGTGCCAAGTGAGATCCTGTAACATTAGACTCCGTCTCAAGAGGACGGATGCTCTATGCAACTGATCGGGGTCAGAAACAGAGAAAGGTGCGCTTTCAAGGGCTTTTCTGGGAGAAGGGGTTTGCTTTGAAACCTCTTCAGCATAGCAGCCATTTCACTACCCTCTTCATTGCCAGGCAAACTTAATAAAAACACATGCAATATTCAGTTTATTACCCTGTTGGGTCTCATTCCATTTGCCCTCCCAACACCTCATTGGTCTATAGCTTTGAAAACATAAAGGGCTCGAATAAATTCACTGAGATGAGAATTTTTATGACAGAGCTTAGCTCAAGTACTCCTATGTCGACATTCGGTAACCTAAGCTAACAGTACCTACCATATTTTATTGCCAACCCACACATTAGTAATCTTAATAAGCCGCTGAGACGCAGGGCTTCTGACTTCCTTTGTGTTAAAAAGTGCCACATTCTCGTGGGCATTCAACCAACACCAAGCAAGAAGAGCAAACACCAGGTTTGTGGTACCTACATTTGTGTCCTCATGGCTGTGGCCATTGGTCTCGACCAACTCCTTGGTACCCTTCAACTGCAGATTTTAAGAAAAAACAAAACAAAAAAACCCAAATGAATAAGTAAGCATTATCTACTAAGTGTATATCATCCTGTTAACCCTGATTTATCTGAGGCTGCACTTTATGAAACTTGCAACAAGAAAAAAGAGATGGAGCACATAATTCTAACGAGTCTTCCTGAAACCAGTTTGAGACCAATATTTTACGAAACCCGATGCCTGGCAAGAAATAAATGGGCCTTGGTCATTATTTTTAAATAATAAAATTAGAAAGCAGTTCCACAGGCATAAAATGCATAAAATTCATTCTTAAGAATAATAAATGATTTCATTTCCTCGTTGTATTGCTGTTAATTTAAACCCGGCAGTGTTTGCAAGTTGCCACCAGCTAAATGATGTTATATAACAATTATTCGAGAATTATGTAGTTCCCCTTGTTTTAACATGCCGCAGTGCTACTGTACATGTCCTCCTTGAGAACCTATTTGAAAGACTGACATGGTTTCTGGAGGTCTAAAACAAGATGATTTGCTTCTTTTTGGAAAGGAAGAATTGGGAACACATCTCCTTGGTCACTGAGGCATCAGAAGAAAAGCTATTTCTCAAATGGGATTTTTAACAGTGAACATCTGAAAATGCCTCTCCCTCAGAAGGCTTAGGAGTAATCAGTTATCGGGAGATTTCTGGAAACCTTTAATTGGCATTTTATCCTAGCCTGACTTGAAGCAGACACATGAAGACAGAGAATAAGGGCAAAGGGGAGCAGGCCTTGCAGCTGTTTGCCGGTATTTCTTCCTGGCTTATTATGCTTAGGAAGCAGCATCTTCTGCATCCTCTTTTTTATGCCTAAAATATTCATGGGGGACATAAATGCTTGAAGTTTGGAAGAAAATAAATGCACCACCAATGTGTTTGATTCAAATGTTGGTTCTTTCGGGCTCTTGGTACATGTTAAAATGAAAGCTTCTTTGATTTTTGTCAGGCCATCTCAGACTCCCAGCAAGAAAACCACGTGCTCTCCATGCCAAGAGAGAGGCTCTGCCAAAGCAACGGCACCATGGAGGAGCTGAGTATGGGGCAGCTAGCTGTGGGCCAGTGGGGCAGATTAAGACTCACCTCCACATCATGCTCCTGCTGGAGAAAGAGGCATGCTGCCCTGTGTCCTCTGGGGCTACACCACTGATGCTTGTACACATAACAAAGACAAGGGAGCACAGGCAATGTGGGATACACACGAGAAGAAAAAGTGCGCCTCAGTGACAGCAGTGCCATCTGTTATCAGAGGGCGCAAAGGGACTTAAAAATCCCTCTCTGCTTTCCTGTCTTAAGGTTTTCTTTTCATAGGTGTTCCTCATCTTCTTTTCATCAAGCCTCTCCGCTTGTCCCACCTTGTAACTCGTGCTTCTGGGAGTGAAGAGCGGGGCTGGCTCAGAAGGTTTTGTCACTTCTGCCCTCAATGGCCTGGCTCCCTGCTCTCTCCGGAGCTGCTGGCCTCCTCCAGACAGAGGGGCTAACATCTTGTCTGAGGCTACCTGGGCTTGGGAACAGGCTCCAGGTGTTGGAAGCTACCACCTCTGTGAAGGACATGAAAGGCAGGAGCCAGTGGGGCCTGGTGGGACCTGGTGAAGCTGCATCTTAGCAAACAGAGAGCTTAGGGAATGAGCCTGCCTTCCCTGGGCTGAGGGCTACGGACAGTAAGGGTCTGCCCTCACAACCTGTTCCTTCTTTTCAGGACTTCCATCAAGTGGCAGTCACTTTAAAGAGCAAAATGCCACGTCTTCAGAGCAGGATATATCTTTTCCTGTGTATGTGTGTGTGTCTATATAATACAGTAAGTCCCCTACATACGAACGAGTTCCGTTCCGAGAGCGCGTCTGTAAGTCCAATTTGCTTGTAAGTCCAACAAAGTTAGCCTAGGTACCCAACCAACCCAATTGGCTATATAGTACTGTACTGTACTGTAATGGGTTTATAATTCTTTTCACACAAATAATACATAAAATACAAACAAAAAATAAAGAAAACATTTTAAATCTTACAGTACAGTATTTTGAAAAGTACAGTAGTACCAGATACATCACGGCTGCCTTTATGCTTGCTTTTGGACATCCTGGGCTTGAAATAAAGATACTGTACTACTGTACTCTATACAGTACTGTACGGTAAGGTACGCAAAAGCACGACCACTTGTAGACGATGCATGCACGTTGACAATGTTCGCCAGACATGTGAACTGACTTATGTGATTGGACAGGCGAACGCACATTTACATCTTCGAAAGTTCTCAACTTGAAGGTTCGTATGTAGGGAACTTACTGTAGTAAGAGTCTAGGCCCAATCAAGTCTCTGGGGGTGAGGCCATCTGTTTAGGCCCTATCTATGCAGGCACTGAAAAGGTGTTTGCACGTATAGCTACTCTACACAAGCCCAAAGAAAGCTTTCTAAGGCATTGTTCAGAGAGGCAGAGGTGTGTTTTTAAATGTATGTCTGTGTGTGGTGGGAGGCTACAGGGAGATGGAAGGAACGTGTCCAATGCCTGCTCTCATCTACAAGGATGACAGGGGCACCGGGCAAGGGGCTCTCGGGAAAAGAGTCTGGTGGCGACAACAGCACCCAAATGCATTTGGCTGCTGTGAGCTCTCTTAAGCTTATGTATTCTCGGTGCCTTTGCTTGGAAAAGAGCCATCCCATTACTACAGCAGATTTTAAAATGCTTCCCTTCCAGTCATATTTCCTAGGTTTTTAATGATTTTAGTTGTTCTGAATCTTGTTCATGTTCCCCATTTATCTTTTTTTTTTTTTTTAAGTAATGGAGAATGAAGTGTGATGCTTTACCAAAGCCTGTGTACGCACATTGCTCTTTAAAAACGCATGCCATGACGACAAGGATATAGCAATGAATTCTGCAAAACTTAGCATCTATTTTTATGACTGGAGTTTGGATTTTGAATCAAAATAAAGGATTTGAATCATTTAGAGAAAGGAATTCACCCCTCCTCATCCCAGTAAATCAAGGAGGCAGAGAGAGAAAATGTAAAACAACAAAGCTCAGAGCTATGTCTGTCTGATCAGGAGCAAATCTGGACCAAATCAGCTCTACTTTGTTGAAAGCCTTTTAATAATGTAAAAGAAGAAAGAATGGTGACTGCAGGTCTCTTAGACAGTAGGTCATTGTGAATTTAGTCATCAATATTTTTTCAGTTCAATCTAACTTATCCAAAATCATATAATGTAAGCCTCAGTCTAAGTTACTGAATCTATCTTAATCATATAAAGGTAACGATTAGCTTTAGAAAGCATTTTCCTCCAAAGCTGTAAAAGCTTATAAAACTATCTAACATCTTCACTTTTCCCTCACAATTCACTTATACTTTTAGGGGAAAGTGACTGAAAATATATTTTCTTGAGTCCAAACCATTAAAAAGTTAAAAATCACTTGTAAAGTGACCGAGTCACAGCTGACTAGGCTCATACTCTTCCAACTTCATAGTTTTTTTTTTGTTTTTTTTTTTAAAATCACTTTTGAAGTTATGTATGTTGTACAAAGGACCTCCTCATATACCAACTGTGAGTGAAAATTTTAAAGCAACCTAAAATGTGACCACCCCCAAAGGGCTACGGTTACTATATGTGATTTTTTTCCCCCTTCCATTTGCCATTTATTACATCATGGGCAGCATGTGAAGGCCAGAAATAGGAAAGCATTTCAAGAGCTTTCTCAGCTTCTCGCATGCAGATACTGGGCTTAGATTTCACTCAGCTGCCGAGCGATCCATCTCACCCTGCTGTAAGACAATAGTTTCAAATCTACTTATCAATGTCAGGCCACACTTTAGTATCAAAGAAAGCCAGGATGAAACGTGCAGATTTACAAACTTCATATGAAAGGTTTGTTGCTCACCCTGGTTAGATAAGTGCCCTGATGCACAGGGGAGAGATTTTTTTAAATGTCGCTATGAATCAGTCCTTCTGATTCAGATGTCTGGAGGATTGTGGGCTATGCTAAACTCATTTTCCTTGTGATTAGACTTAAAAGGAAACTAGCTGCTTGCTGTGAAATTCATCTGCATTGCCAATGTTTTAAAACTTTATCAAAATTCATTTGTCTTCCGGAAGAAACGTTCACACATTGCTGGGGGGCTTGGGTGGTCTAAAGAGGTACCAGAGTGAAAACAGAGATGCTGGAGATGAGATTATAAATTCTACCCAGCAAAGCTGCTAAGAGGTGGGGAGGGGTCCAGGCTGGTCACTTCGAAGATTAACTGCAGCAGTGTTTGCATGTGTGTCGAACACGGGGGAGGTGTGTGTCCGTGTTTGAACTAATTCACGAGGCAGAGCTGTTGCATTCACTTACTTGTTCCTGGAGGACTTTGAGTAATGCTTGTGTGTGTGACTGCTCTTCCTTTGCTTGTTCCAATTCTGACTTTTTGCTGTTTAACTCCTCCTGGATGGTCAGCAGTTGCTGTGAAAAGGATATTTAGGATAAGTAGGATTGAAGGCCAATGGAATACTGTAAGATATTGAAAACATCCATTCCAAAACACGAGGAAAAGGTTTGTACGTGTCTTAAAGCTTAATCCAGACTTCAGTTGACTTTTTTAAAATGTCTGTTTCACCCCACCACCACCACCACACATAGTGTAACGAGTGTGCAGTTAATGCCACGGTATCAGGCTGTTTGTGATACTGATGCACAACGCTTGTTTCAGTGTTTGTGAAGGCACCTTTATATTCCTTTAAACAGATGCGTATCTGTGAAAATATGTAGAATAGTGGTAAGAAACTAAGACATTGACAGCTGAAGAAATTAAATCATAAAAACGCTTAAAATAAAGAGTCAACTTGTCCGAGGTTACATCATTTTACATATGATCCTAAAGCTAGCTTCACAGTAGCTCTGTAAAGCTGCTTTACCAGGTGGCTGGCAGCACAAAAGAGCCTTTTACCTTCTCTGTTATGATGGCGATGTTTTATTAGACCAGCAGGACTGAAGTCCAAACTGCAATCAATGTATCAGTCGAGAAAACTGCTGATACAAGCTGTCAAAACACTCAGCTACGGCCTGCATTGTTGTTTTGAAGCAGGGCCACTGAACGGATTGCTGTGAAGCCTTGAGCGTTCCTTGCCCTGTCAACTGTAATGCATGGGAGGCTTACCTGGCCTGCCAGGAGGACGGGGCTGCCCAGAACTAATTCTTTGGAACATGGTTATATGCTAATATATACATAGGCTGGAGAGCGCATTCAAGAGCTTCAAAACAGGCCCCGGAAGCAGCTATGTCTTATTCAGAGCTTCCTGACAGCAAAGGGCTAGTTTGCAAAGACGGAAGTCTGTTTCTCCTGCTCCTGCACATGACAAGTGCTGCACTAATGATACGAGAATGGCAGTGCGGTCCTGCCACGAGGGTAGCTGTCTCCACACCAAGGCTGCGGCTTCTGGGGCTTGACAAGCTGGCTGCAGAGCTGCCTGGCCAGTTCTGAACTATCAAGGCCGGAATAAACACTGGCACTGGATTCCTGATGCTTAAAGTTGCCACGTGGAAGGATTAAATTAAAGCTTCAAAACTGCTAGTTTTGCGGTACGTTGTCGGGGAGGAAGTACTCAGAAAAGCACACTGTGCCTTAACCCCTGGGCTCGCTTGTCCTGTTCCCTCATCCGGTGCTGGCTGTAGATTTAAGAACCTGCTTTGGTCCCCCAGCATAAACAGTGATTTCCTTGCAGTTTTCAAAACACTCAGCGCCCGTTATTTTACCACCTGCCCGTATCATACTCACATATGATGCAATACACACATCCCACACGGGCTCCCTTCACACATTATGTGATTCAATTGTACACCAATTGATTAAAGTGCAGAAACCAGGGGGCCATATTGTACTCTGGCACCATGATAAGTAATGAAAATGACCATTTCCAAACAGTGGGGAATGACCCTGTTTCTTTCTTCTCATTCATGACCAGCCCCAGAACAGTTCCGAGAGGATCTGGTGCTCTGACTTCCACGATGCCGAGTGGATTTTTATGGCATTAGACAATTTCGAATCCACTCCTTAAACCTCCTTTAAAAATGAGCCAAATGAAGGACAGGAAATTGTCTTCAAACATAGGTAGCTTATGTTCACTCAACTGCAGCACTCAAAGTAGCAAAATTTAGAAAACGACTGATGTCCAGCAGAGGGGGACTGGCTACAGTAACGAAGGCGCATCTGTGCAATGGAACACCACGCAGCCATTAAAAATGAGGTTGTGGGCTTCCCTGGTGGCGCAGTGGTTGAGAGTCCGCCTGCTGATTGCAGGGGACACGGGTTCGTGCCCCGGTCCGGGTGGATCCCGCATGCCGCGGAGCGGCTGGGCCCGTGAGCCATGGCCGCTGGGCCTGCGCGTCCGGAGCCTGTGCTCCGCAACGGGAGAGGCCACGGCAGTGAGAGGCCCGCGTACCGCAAAAAAAAAAAAAAAAAAAAAAATGAGGTTGCACAAGTGTCTCTGGACATAGAATTAACTCATAATATACTGTTCTCCACATGGAAAGTTCAGGCTATGAAAGGGTTTCACTGAATTTTGCAAACTATTCATAGAAATGAATCTGGACACTGTCTCTGGGTGAGTGGGCTTATGGATCTTTCTGTTAGTTTTGCTTGTAATTTTATGGTATGTCTGTAAAGGAGCAGACACCGCTTTAGTAAGAACAGCAACAAGAGCAAACAAATGAACTTAACTAAGGTTGGGGAAACAACAAAGCAAGGAAAACCACTTGGACACAACTCTCAGCTGTTATTACCAACACTGTGAATAGATCAGAGGGGAAGTGAGAACTCTGTTGAGGCTGCCATTTCATCCACACATTTACAACACTGATTCTTGCTATTAAAACGTGCGTGTGCTTGTGTACACACACACACACACACACACACACACACCCTTGCCCTGACCTCACTTCCCATGTAAGCTTCCATCCGTTCTCACTGCTCCTTGGAATCACACTTTTAAATTTTAAAAAAAGTGTGATTCCAAGGAATCATCCCCAGTTCGTTTTCTTCTCATATGTAGGCAACCGCTTTCAACGGTTTCTATCTTTTTTATTTGAATGTGTTTTTCCAAAATATATACTGTTGTTTGGAGAGTATGCCTTTGTATGTTAAGTGATAGTGTTCGTATTTCTTGTTTACTATGTTTTTAAGATCCATGTTGATATGTATATATATCTAACTATTGCTTCTGGTGGCTGCATACTGTTTTACAGGGTACGTCCACCCAGTTATACCTACTCCACTCTCTCAGTGAAGGCCACTCAGATTATCTCCAATTATCCTCCCCTGTACAAGGCTGTAGTGGGAGATGCTAATGCTTGTCCCTATGGACCTGTGGGAGACTTGCCCTGCTGCACATCCAGCGGTGGAGCTGCTGGTCATGGGGGATGCCTGAGGAGTTCACTGCCAAAGCTGCGTCACAGAATGGCTGTAACAGCCTACTTGCCCACCAGTGCTGTAAGAGTTACTGTACCCCACACCCACACTAACACTTTGCATTATCCAACTTTCTAACCTCTGTCAGTCTAATAATATCAAGATTCTTCACCTTGGGACTTCCCTGGTGGTCCAGTGGTAAAGAATCCACCTTCCAATGCAGGGGACGTCGGTTCAATCCCTGGGTGGGGAACTAAGATCCCACATGCCACGGGGCAACTAAGCCCACGTGCCACGGCTACTGAGCTTGTGCGCCTCAATGAGAGAGCCCTGCGTGCCGCAAACTACAGAGCCCGCGAGCCACAACGAGAGAGAGAAAACCCGCATGCCACAACTAGACAGAAGCCCGTGAGCCGCAACGAAAGATCCAGTGTGCCTCAACGAAGACCCCACGTGCTGCAACTAAGACCCGATGCAGCCAAATAAATAAATTAATTTATATTTTTTTTTAAAAAAGATTCTTCATCTTTGAAAAATCTCATACTTCTCTGACCCCCTGGGGTTTTATGCATCTCACATGTCTGCCAGCTTTTGAGGTTTATTGACACTTCTTAAAGGGAGAGTCAAGGGTAGTGGTTCTTAAATCTGGAGAACTTTTCAAACACACTTATTCCTGGGTCCCACAGAAGACCAATTAACTCAGAATATCTAGGGGACGGACCCAGACAATAATATTTTTAAAGAAAACCTCCACAGGGCTTCCCTGGTGGCGCAGTGGCTGAGAGTCCGTCTGCCGATGCAGGGGACACGGGTTCGTGCCCCGGTCCGGGAGGATCCCACATGCCGCGGAGCGGCTGGGCCCGTCAGCCATGGCCGCTGAGCCTGCGTGTCCGGAGCCTGTGCTCCGCTACGGGAGAGGCCACAACACTGAGAGGCCTGCGTACCGCAAAACAAAAAAACAAAAAACCTCCACGGATAATTTTAATACACAGCTGGGAAGGAAAACCACTGTCTCTTTAAATGCTTATTTAATCCTGCTACAACGTTGCTTCTGTCCAGAGTACCCTACGCAGACTCTGCTCTTACTAAAGTCACTAACGCTTTTCTAACTGCCAACTAGGATGCCAGGTTCTGTTTGCCTTGTCATATGTCCTCTCTCTCCAGGCGATCCTGTTCACACCCACGGCTTCAACTGCACGGGCTCGGCTTCTGCGCTCCTGCTTTTCAAAGCTGACCTCACAGCCTCCGCCCCTCCTACTGCCCACCAGACCCTTTCCCTC